GGTGGACAAACAGAGGCTTGGGGGTGATGTCATCCCCCCAGATAACAGCTAAGGAGAGGCAGAGCCAACATTGGAATTTAGGACTGGTTGATGACAGAATCTCCACGCATAGGAAGCATGCTGGACAAGTTAGAGAAGTAGATTTCACTCATTTCCTATTTTGCCCTGGCTGCTAGGAAGTTCATCTCTAACTGGACTGTTCAGTAATTCTGCTAGCCCTGCATAATCATACACCAAAGTCAAGAACAGGGGGTCTGAGACAACCAGGTTGATGGCACTCTGGGTGAGGATAGTTAACGAGCAGTGGGGCGGGGCCTAGGTGGCAGTAGGCTGAGCCAGTAGGATCACGTGGGAATAGTGAGTGTCAGGCATGAAGGCCCAGAGGGAGGTGGGAAGGGGTTGGCTTGGGTTGGGTTGGACCTTTCTTCTGGAGGCCACAGTGAGAACTGAGCCACTTTACTGCCCTGTCTCTCCTGTCAGGTGGCAGACAGTGAGGCGAAGGCGGGGACTTTGCAGCTGACGGTGGAGCGGCTAAGTGGGGCCCTGGCCAAGATGGAGGAGAGCGAGGGGGTCCTGCAAGACAAGGTGCAGGGTCTGACGGAGACTCTGGCCCAGAACAATGCCAGCCTCACAAGCGCCCAGGACAAGAATCTGCAACTGCAGAAGGCGCTGAAGGCCTGCGAACATGACCGCCAAGTACTCCAGGTATGGGCGATTCCTGGGTCTGGCTGTGGGCGGACCCAGGGAGAGTTAGCCAATGGGGCAGTCAGTTGGAAACCCTAAGGAGCCAGTCAGTGAGAGAGAGGGGTGGGCTTACTAAAAGCATCAGCCAGTAAGAGGAGGCATTGGAGGAAGCACTAAGAGAACAGCCTATAGTATAGGCTTGGAGGGACCAGGTGCAAGGTTAACGGGGAAACAGTATAGGTCAGTGGGCTAGGCCTGCTATCTGTTATCTCCAGGTGAGGTGACTACCTGTCTTATGGGCTTTGAAACTGGCGTGAGATAGAGTAGAGTCTGTGTCCCAGCTTGGCACCATCCATCCCTGTCCCCCAGGAACGGCTGGAGGCCGCTCGGCAGGCACTGTCAGAGGCCCGGAAACAGAGCAGCTCCCTGAGTGAGCAGGTGCAGACGATGCGGGGTGAGGTGGAAGACCTGGAGCTGCAGCGGGCAGAGGCTGTGGGCCAGCTGCAACAGCTACAGGAGGTGAGGGCCGGGGTGGGGACCTTTCCACCTATCACAGCCTCATCCCAAATCCAGGTCCAGCCTCCTAGACTACCCACAAGCCCAGGGAATGAAGCATGATACCTTTATTATAGAGATGGAGAAACTGAGGCCCAGAGAGGAGAGCTGTCTGCCCTCAGGTGACAGTTCCCTGGTGCGGGCCTCACAGTTGCCCTACTGTGTGAGTGGGCACAGCAGGCTGGCTTCGTCTTCCCCAAGCTTCAGACACACACGCTGAAGCCCAGGAGAATTAGGGACTTGCTGGCTTCTGTGTAGGTGCTGCGGCAGCGTCAAGAGGCTGAGGCTGCAGCCCTGCACGCCGTGCAGAAGCTGCAGGACGAGCGGCGGCTGCTGCAGGAGCGCCTGGCCGGCCTACAGCGCGCCCTGGCTCAGCTAGAAACTGAGAAGCGGGAGGTGGAGCGGTCAGCCTTGCGGCTGGAGAAGGACCGGGTGGCTCTCAAGAGGACACTGGACAAGGTGGGCTGCTTCCCAGGGCCTTTCCCCTCACTTTGTCTAGGTCCTGGCCATGGCCAGTCCCAGCTGCACATCACTAGGGCCCGGGAGCCTCTGGTCCCCCTGGTCCCGCTGCCTCGAATCTAACACCCCTCCTGGAGCATCCCCCTTCACAGACTTCCCGCCGCCCCGGGCACCCTGCTCCCCTCCTGCTCTCCCCACCCAGGTAGAGCGGGAGAAGCTTCGCAGCCACGAGGACACAGTGCGGCTGAGTGCAGAGAAGGGCCGCCTGGACCGAACACTCACGGGGGCCGAGCTGGAGCTGGCCGAGGCCCAGAGACAGATCCAGCTGCTAGAGGTCCCAGCCCTAGATACCCACTTCGCCCTAACCCACAACCCCACCCTCACCCTAGCCTGAGGGCCAGGCTGTCCCAGGAGCTGCTGATACCTCAGCCAGCCCCGAGCCCACAGGCTGCGAGCCCAGGCCCCGGGGTGGGGGTGGGGGTGGGGGGTGGGTAGCTCAGAGTGAGATCCCAGGGTGGGGGTGCTCTCCAGAGTGCAGAGAAAAGAGATGCTAATGGCGGGCTAGCACCTGAGCCTGTGTGTTCATGTGTGTCATGGATGTGTAAGGCATGAGCATACCTCAGAGTATTCTTGCGCATGAACCTTTTGCACAGGTGTGGCAAGCCTGTGTATTAAGAATATGGTATAGCTATGTGCATGTCTACATGTGTCTTCATGTATGTAGGAATATTGTGCACATGTATGTACCCATGTGAACACAAGTACTCGTGCTTGTTTTGGAGCCTGTGTGTGTATGGGCCTGCATTTGAGTACATCTGTGTGTGTGTGTCTGAGTAGGGGTCACTAGGTACTCTAATCACAGGCCAGGAGGGTGGGGGTGGGGTTGGAACAAATGGGATCTTAAAGCTCCTTCTGCCTCCCCTGTCTGCACTGGCCTTGCTGTGAGGTCCCCCAGGCTCCCACCCTGGGGAGGTGCCTGACGCCTCCTTGTGCACAGGCATGCGTGCACACATGTGGGGCCAGACTCCAGACTAGCGGCCTCTCCTGCAGGCCCAGGTGGTGGTGCTGGAGCAGGACCACAGCCCAGCCCGGCTGGAGGCGGAGGAGCAGCAACAGCTGGAGCTGCAGCAGGAGGTGGAGCGCCTGCGCAGTGCCCAGGTGCAGACGGAACGCACCCTGGAGGCGCGGGAGCGGGCCCACCGGCAGAGGGTGCGTGGGCTGGAGGAGCAGGTACTGAGGCCTGACTGGGCTCCGGCCTCTCCCCTGGGGGCTGCAGAGCCAGCAGGACCAACCCTCTCCCCCCCAACCCCCAACCTGCTTGGGCAGCTGGGCCAGGAGGGAAGTGAGAAGCTGGAGAAGGAGGAAGGGAAGGGGGAGAGGCCTGGGTGTAACCTCTTGGGTATAAGCAGTCTGTGGCACCCAACACTGAAATGGTCAGGTGGTGTCAACCATGGCTGAACATGGGCTTAAGTGATGCCATTGGCACATAACTCTGCTCTCCTCTGGCTCTAGGATGGCCCTTTCCCTGGGTGGCACAGGTGGCCTCAGCAGCCCCAGCCTCGGGTTATCCCAACAACCCTTGATCCCAGAGGAAAGTGGGGGAGGCATTTTTTTCTGAGATCAACAGCAAGAGTCCCAGGGATGCTTCTCATTGACCAGCTGCAGTCCCAGGCCCCTTCCTGACCCTCCCCAACCTTATCATGTCTACAGGGCAAGGCTGGTTTGGCAAGCCAGGCCTGAGTCACAGGTCCATCCCGGGAGTCAGGCCAGTGCTAGGCCTGTCTGAGTGATGAGGGTGGGGATAGGGCAGCTCCCAAAGAGATGCCACGCAGTCAGAGGACACCTGATGGTACCACAGACCCGAATGAGGAGGGAAGAAAACACCCGGTTCTTTATGAGACCTGCATCTGCCTGGAACAGGTGGCGCTGGTCCCTCCTGGGGTGGGACTACACCTGGCTGTAGTCACCCCCTTTTCTCTGCGATCGGGCTGTGGACCTGGGCTGGCTCTACCTTCTCTTTCTTCTCCAGGTGTCCACACTGAAGGGACAGTTGCAGCAGGAGCTTCGAAGGAGCTCAGCATCCTTCTCTCCCGCTTCTGGGCCCCCAGAGAAATGAGCCCCTCCCCCACTGGTGGCCGGGGCAGGGGAGAGGCTTCCTCTCCAGAACAATCCACCCAAGGGCCTGAGCATGTCAGGGCTCCCAGAGCTCAAATGAGGGTGAGGAAGAGCCTGGCTGGCAGCTCTGAGAGGCGGGACTCCAGTGCCAGGCCAGACCCAGCACCGGCATCGTCGGAGCCCCCTGCCCTCTGTGGGCCCTGCCTCCGTCCAGTGTCCCTCCCCGGATGAACCACTTTGCGTTGTACGCGATCCTCACTGCGTGGCTGAGCCAAAGCCAGGGGTCAGGGAGACCCTGTTGTCTGTGGCCAGCCCTGGAGCACGGGCTCACAGGAAGGCGGAGGGGTGCCTGGGCCTCGGGCAGGGGTCAGAGACCCAGGCCCCGCCCTGGCTTCCCAGAGGTCTCTTTGCCTTAGTTCAGAATGTTTGTCAGGAAATTCTTCAGAGTTCAGAATCCCTGTATTTTTATACCTTTTTATAATGTTAACTGTTTGGAACTGTTTGTGTTTTTTATAACAAGATCCCATTTTCTAGAAATGGTTTTGTACAGATGTGTCCCTTTACTGTCCATGTACCTCATCCCCCTGGCAGACGGGAGGGAGACAAGCAGGGCCTGGGGCAGGAGGGACGGATGGACTCCGACAGAATCAGGTTCTGCCCGGCTCCACCCCTTGTAGCTGTGGGACCCTCCGGGCTCAGTTTCCCTGCTGGGAGGATGTGCACACGACTGCCCGCCCCAGAACCCTGTTTGGAAGGTTAGATAGGAGGTGCGGAGCCTGGGCCCACGGGCCGGTCAGGCACTGCGCTGGCCCGCCCTGCTTCTGCCCTCTGTCTGAACTGCACCAGCCCCACCGCCTCCCACCCAAGTCCCTGATCTCTCAGTCCATCTACCTTGACCTTCTGCCCTGTGCCCTATATTCACCCTTACACTTCCACACTGGTGGCCTCCTGCCTTGGCCTGCACCCCCCTGGTGACGGGACAGGTCCTGACAGTGAGAGAGCTGTATTCCCGGACCCTCTGCTTATAATGTAGCCCTGCAGTCAGCTGTCATGGCCCATTGCGGGACAGGCCCTTCCTGAGAGACCAGGAACCTCTCAGAGAGGGCGGACAGTGGTGGAGGCACCTGGCCACCCGATTGGTAGTCTCTGAAAAATGACTGAATCTTTTGTAAAAACTTGTTTTTAATTTTGTAGAAAACAGAGGTGGTCTATGCCCAGGGGCTGTAGGGAATCCAAGCAGACCAGCTGGGGCGAGGGGCACAGCCTACCTCAGGGTCTGGGGGACTGTCCTCAGAGGGACCAAGAAGGCGCATCGGAGGCCCAGACCCCTTTGAGAGGCCAGGGGGCTCCCTTCTGGGGGCGAAGACTGTGCAGTGGGGAGCCCCCACTGTGCCTTGGGGGGGTGGCCACAGGCTGGGGAGGGGCCCAAGACAACCCCTGGCCGCAGTCCACTAACTTTTTACCGAATAAAAGAGATGTCAGGCTGGGAACAAAAGCACCAGGTTGAGTGGGGCCCGAAGGCCCCGGATCTGAGGGGGGGCCAGGGCTCGGGGGCCAGCTGTGCCCTAGCAGCCCCCGCAGCTCCTGGCACAGGAGACCGCCACAGACGGGCACAAGCCGCTGCTGGCCATCACACCACATTTGGAGAACTTGTCCCGGCACAGGTCGGCTGTTGGGGGCGCAGAAAGGAGATGGGGTCAGGGTGGGGCTGGGTGATGGCAACCGCTCCCCATTCTGATTTCGGTGCCCCCTGGACCTGGCGCCCGCACGTGACCCGTGTTTCATACACGTGCATAGGCGGACGCACACTGAGTGAGCCGGGGCAGGGATCAGGTGGCGGCGCAGACTGCCTACCTCGGAGGAGCTCCTCGTGGGCACAGACTGTGCGGACACAGATCTCCTTATTGATGACGTACATTCGCCGGAGGCTGGGGGGACAAGGCCGGGGGAGGGGTCAGTCCCGCTGCCACCCAGCCCCGAGGGGGAGCCCGCAGGACTTGGTATTGGAGCCCCAACCCACAGGCCAGGGCTCAGCCAGGGTTGAGCTCAGCTTCAGGATTCATTCTCCTTCCCCAATCTCCACCTGGGCTGGCTGGAGCTTTCCCCTCTGCTCCCTGCCCCCTCCAGTCTGCCTGTGCTCACCTGTAGAAGCAGACCTCGTTGAGACACTGTTTGCAGGGCTTGTGGATGGAGTAGAGGCGGGTGCACGGGTACTGCTCCTCACGGCAGTCTGGGTGACAGGCGGGATCAGACCGGGGGGGAGGGGGCTGCGGCTTAGGGCTCAGAACGGGGGTAGGGTAGCCCGTAACCTTGCCCACCAGAGACTGGCTCTCATCTCAGGGTCTAGGTAAGCCCTGCACCCCTTGGCCTAGACCATACCGCCCCCACCAACACACACCAACACACACAGATACACGTGCAATACAGGCGTACACAGTGTCGTTGGCACTGAGGCAGCCCGATTTTATACAGTGTATTTACACATATACAAATTCACAACCACACTCAGAAGCATGTACTCAAACACACATCCATTCAAACACAAAGCCACGCTGACCTCACAGGTGCACACAGCATTACACTGAGCTCATGAGGGTCAGATGGGACCCCTCATAGTCTTGCTCTCTCAGGCTCCTGGCTGGGGCAGCCCGGGACCCGCTCAGCCTGCCTGGGCTTCCTGCTCCCTCCTCACCTGCCTGCCAGCGCACTCACTGTCCCCAGCATCTGGAAGCAGGGAGCCTCCTCCCAAACTTGCAGCCAATGCAACTTCCAGCCAGGCCCAGGGGGGCAGGGGGATCTCCCAGAGCTGCCCAGGGGGCCCTGGGTGTGTAGTCTAAAGCAGGGCCACCTCGGCAAGCCCCGCACCCTACCACCCACCTGGGCAAAAGCCCAAGGCCTGGCAGTCTACCCTCCCAGCGTTCGGCCCCGTTCCACCCTAACCTCGGGGCTGTGCCTGTTTCTCTGGCCGTCGGGAAATCTCTTACCAAGAGGCCCGGGCTCCGTGGGCTCCGTCTCTGCGTTTCCTGGCTCTGGTGTTAGGAGAGGGGCAGGCAGAGGCCACTGAGAGAGGCCAACCCAGGGCAGGGCTCGGTCCCCTCTCCCAGCCCCTGCACAGACTCCGCCACCCCCAGGGCTGATGGGAGCTTGCGGCCTACCGAAGGTGGGGGCCGGGATGACTTCCTGTTGGACTTGCTGCTGAGACTGGAACTGGAACTGCTCCTCGGAGGGCCGAGGAGTGGCCTCTGCACAGGGCGTGGTAAGGGGTCTTCTCCTTGCCCTGCCCTGCCCTGTCCGCCACCCACCTGCCTGGGTGTCTGCCCGCCCTAGGCAGCCCCCGCCCTTTACCTTGGTAATCATAGTAGTCCGGGGTGTCTGAAAACAAAGGTGAATGCGGAGCTGGGGGGTGGGACAGGCTGGTTCCCAGCTCCAGGGGCAGAGGAGGTCACAACTGAACCCGGAGTGTCCCCCCACCCCATCCTGATTCCCATCACCTAACCCCACCGGGTCTCTGGCCCAGCCTTTGCATATCTGGGGAGCCAGCCTTGATCACATGGCAGGGCCGGGAGGGACTGGTGGGGGCACAAGGCCTTACCAATCTGGTCACTGTAATGGGGGTACTGGACGTGGTCTGGGAACGGCGGCAGTGGGTCCAGGTCATATTGCCCCTGAGCCAGCAGGCCTGCTGTGGGGAGACAAAGCAATGGGGGTGTCCCATGGGGACAGCAGGGGTGGGAGCCGCTCCTGGAGAGGCAGGTCTGCAAAACCCTAAGATCCTACAACCAGACACTTAGACCCTCAGGGTACAAATGCATCCCTCAACCATTAAGGCTCTCATGTAAACTGGGTCTGGTGTCCCCTCGCTGGCCTCCTCCTGACCTCCCTCCCCCTCCCCCCATGCTTGCATCCTGGCCATTCCTGGAACTGGGCACTCTCTTGTTTGTCCCAGGGCCACGGCATCTAACTCTCCCTAGGCCTGTAACCCTGGTCACCTTCTTCAGGTCTCAAGATTTCAGCCCTGCTGACAGGCTCTCGCTGGCCCACCTCCTGCTGTTCTCATCCTCCCGGTATTTCCATCATAGCGCTCCGCAAACTCCACGTTATCAACACAGCCCTCCCTTGCCTAGACTGGCGGCACCACGAGGGCGGGAACTCATCTGCCTGGTTCATTGTGGTATCTATCTCCAGGGCCCCGCCAAGGGCAACAGTGGAAAATTGTAACAGTGGAAAATCATGACCCCCCCACCATGCTCTTGACATCGTTTCTGTAAGTGCTGACTCTGACTAGTAGTATCTGACTCTGACTAGTATGTGGCTTGTAGATGAACAGCATGTTGGTCGAAGAATCCTAGGAACTAATTTTGAAAGGTACAGATCCTGACCTTCAGGCATCCCAGCTCCAGGAGATGTGCTGACTTTCAACCATGGAGCCAGGATGACGTGGAGCCAGTCTGACTAAACCAGGATGCTGCACACCGGACCGTCACTTGTCTTATCGAAATGGACCGTGCTCGTCCGCACATAGAGAGCTTTGCAACCCCCTCCCTTGATCCCTGTCTGTTCCCCTCGCCCTGCTTGTCAAAACCTCTGCCTCCACTGAGACGTGGAGCTGCGCTTTGAGACAGGAGTCCCCCATCTTCCAGATGCCCAGCATCTGCAAATAAACCACTTTCCTTGACATCAGCACCTGCCTCTGGAGTACCGGCTTTCACAGAAGTGGGCAGCTGGCCCTGCATCCGGTCACACTGGTGCCTGGCACAGAGTAGAAGCTCAAGAGATAGCTGTTCAGAGATGCAGGTTGGACCTGTCAGGGCCTTTTGATCCCCACTGATAACTTCTCACTTGACCACCAGGGACCCCCTCTAAGGTCCAGACTGTATAGGGTGGTGGAGCCCCAAATGGGCCTAGACTCCCTGCCTTCAGTACCATCAACTCCCTATACATCAGCTCCTGGGAGGGTGACAGTGAACGGAAAAGTGTGGCCTTCTGCACCTGGGTGTGTGCCCACTCTCCAGAACACTGCCTGTCTGCTGCATGGACGGTAGGGTGAGAGCCCAGGAAATATTTCAGACCCTGGGAGGGCCTGGCTAGTCCAGTCTGTGGTCCAGGAGGCAGGAGGCCCTGGGACACGGGGACCTGAGTTCTGGCCATCGGGCACAGCAAAGACCCCACACCCTCACCCTCACCCACATAAGGGGACCCCCACACCACCTCCATGAGCCACTTACCAGGCAGGAAAAGCAGGAAGAGGTAGGCAGCTCTCATGGCTACTGGGTGAAGGTGGCTGGGCTGATGTCAGACAGCTGGGAGAAGGGAGGGGGTCAAACCGCATCCCAGGCCCACTGAGCCAGGATGGCCGAGCCCACCTCCGCTCCCCAAATCAGCCTGGAGGAAGAGTCACCCAGAATAGAAGCCACACACAGGGAGGGCCCAGAGTCTGGAGAGGGAACTGCTTTGAAGGGACATCTGCTGTCCCTGATGGTTCACCCAGGGCTCAAGCCCTGAGGGACAAGGCCTCCAACGTGGCTCCAGGGCTGATGGAGAGCAGACCCCACCTGCCCCGCTCAGTCAGGGGACATTTCTAACCCCCTCCCAGCTCTGGCCTTTCTCTCCTTGTCCACCACCACCCCCAGCTCTGGTTTAGCACCTCCCCAGGTGCCCAGTACATCAAGCATGTAAATCCCTGACCCCGGGGCGCATCCTTGGGACCCCAGCCCTGTCCAGCCAACATCACAGTCCACTCAGTGGCATCTGCCAAACCCACCACCTGCTCCCAATTAGCCCCTAGGCCTTGAGCATCTTGCTCTGCAGGAAAGCACATGCGTGCACAGGCCCCAGGGCCCCTGAAGGCGGCCAGGCCTGGGCAGGGCTCCCACCCCCAGAAGATTCCTCTCCTGCCAGGCCTCCCAAGACCTGGCTGTGCATCAGACTCACGAGACTGTGGTCTATTTGTCTGCAGCAGCAGGAAACACTTAGGGTGGAGTCTGAGGAGGGCTTCTCTGGCTCCTAGAAAGGCAGTGCTGGAGGGAACCATGATGTCACCCAGCCTAGGGGTGCTGAACCCACCGACATCGGATGAAAAGTGTTGTATATGTAGTTTTGGGGGGACAGAGCAGTGATCCACAGCTCTCACCAGGCTCTGGAAGTTTAAGAACTCCTGGCTGAGTCCAGCGTCTGGCTTCTGGCCCCACAGTGGACTTGGCAGAGTCTGCAGGTCCCCAGGTCCGGGCCCAGCTCAGTGGAGGGCAGCCGCAAACAGTCAGCTTTCTGCTGGGAGGCCTGGGAAGGGGCCCACGGGCTCACTCACCCAGGAGCACCCCCTCCCTGCCACAACACGGGGAGCTCTTCCCCACAGCTAACTGGAAACCTAACTTGGACACACTTCCCTTGAGAAGTGAGAAGGGATGAAAAGAGGCAGAAGTGGGCATCTTGCCCCCTTTTTCCCCAGTCCTGAGACTTCTGTGTCCCCTGCCCATCTCCTGCATTCAACGTCTCCCTCCCTCCCTGAACCCTCTGTGCAGCTGCGTGAGGCTGGTGAGGACACTGAGGTGGGACAGGGTGGGTGCAGGAGATGAGACTCAGGACTCAAGCTGCCCCTCAGGCTAGGGACATCTGGCTCCCCACAGCCCCACTCTGAGCCCCCTTGGCCTCCCTTTGTAAGAGGGGCTGAAAGACCTGGACCCCCTTCCTTGCAGCTCCCTACAGGGCCACACTCCCCGGTCCCCATCCCTGGGGGCTGACAGCACCAGGCTCAGTGGGGCTGTTGGCACCAGAAGGCGGCCCTGAGTCGAGGCCTAAGGGGTTTATAAGTGGGGTGACCTCTGTCCCCAAAGCTCCTCCTTGGCCTCTCAGCCCCCTGCACAGAGTCTAGTCATTTCCTCCCCACAAGGTCTGGCACCCAGGCCCAGGCTTCTTGAGTAAAGCGGCTTCTAGGGCAAGGGGAGTTCTTGTAAAGAGGAGAGTCCCGTGGGAGTAATTAATTGACCGAGGGAACAGCTCCAAGCACTTCTAGACTATGGATTTCGGGGGCCTGGGGGAGCCCTAGGACCTGCCGCAGCAGCCGCAACTCCGCTCGCCTCTGCCTTCCTCGTGGGAGGGGGACCAGCGGGGCCTTCCCAGAGCCTCCTGCCCACGCTCCCTCGGAGGGAGGCGCTGCGGAGGCCGGGCTGGGTCGGACGGGAGGAAACCAGATGTTGCGGCCCGCACAGCTGGGAACAATCAGCCGCGGCCGGCGCGCTCTCCCGGTCTCTGATCTCCCTTTGTCCGCGTCTCGGGGCTCCCGCCACACACCCCCACCCCACCCACCACATTCCAACCTCCCAGGGAGAACAAAAGCCGCCCCCAGCCCCGACGCCCCCATTTCTGGCTCCCCCCAAACTCGGGCTCCTCTCCCTTTCCAGTCCGCGTCCTCTCCTCAAAGCGATCCCAAACTTTGTAAGTGGCCTCTTAGCATCTGCTCAGACGGCCGGGGTTCAGGGACGCCGGCAGCGGCCCCCCGTAGCGGGGACACGCGGAGCCCCGCACCGCCCCCTTGCCCGCGGCCCGGGTCCCGCGAGGGCTGCCCACGGAGTCCCGCAGCCAGGCTCTCGCCTACCTGGCCCGGTCACTCCGCTGCAAGTCCGCCCGCCGGAGCCGCCCCTTTGCCCGCTGCGAGCCCCGCTCCGGGCCCCCGACGGGCCGGCGCCCGCCCTCCAGCCCTGCATCCGCTGGGTCCTAACGCGAGAGACTCCACCAGGGCCGCCGCCGCGCCCTCGAGTCCCTACCGGCTCCTGGGGGCGCCCGCGGAGCCATCGTCAAGTCTGCCCTACACTCCTTCTGTGCAGAACTTCTCCCTCTCCTCTCCGCATCGCTTCTGACCCGCAGTCAGTGGCGAGGTGGGTCAGACGGATGGACGAGTTACCCCATTTTACAATCGGAGGAAACCAAGGCTCATAAAGGAGTTGCCCAGGGCCGCTCAGCTGGAAGTAAGCCTTGCGCTCCCCTCTGGCTTCTCCCAGCTTCGAGGACACCCTCGGTGGCCTGATTTTCCCCCTGCCTCTCTGGCTGCACCTTCTGGGTCTTCTTAGTCATCTCTCGCTTGAGACTGGCTTCCATAACCAGCATTTCTTTCAGGCCTCAGGGTCCAGCCTACAAGGCCTGGCCCCACCAATGTCCCCAAGGCATACATATTTATCAGGGATCCAAGTCCAAATTCAGGACTCCATGACCCTCTCCCAGGCCTGGCCCCAGAAGGTGTTCCCATTCAGTGGCCTCATCATCCTTTCCGGACTCAGGCTTCTCCTGCCACCAGCCCCTACATCCAATTCAGCACTCAGTCCCTCATTCTGCCTCCAAAGTATCTTTCGAGTCTGTTCATTGACCCCATGGTGGTAAGCCACCACCATCTCTTTAAATTTTTTTAAAAAGTTTATTGACTTAGAGAGAGAGAGAGAGAGAGAGATCAGTTTGTTATTTTACTTATTGACGCATTCGTTGGTTGATTCTCCCTGACCACGTATCAAACTCACAACCTTAGTGTAGCAGTACAATGCTCTAACCACTGCTCTACCCAGCCAGGGCTACCATTACCATCTGTTGCTTGGATTCTGTGACAACCTCCGATCTGGGCCTTCTCAAGGGGGTCCTGCCCTTCCCGCTCAATTCAGGCACTGGCCCCCTTTCTACTTAAAGCCTCCACTCCTTTTCCATGTATCTAGACTCAAAGTTCAGCTTCCCGGTGGCCCCCAAGAGCCCTACCCTTCATCCCAATCTGGCTTTGCTTCTTCATGCCCTCCAGTCACGGGATCTTTTGGCATTCTCTCACTAAAATCCTTTCTCTGCGGCCACAGGGCCTTTGCTCAAGCTTTTCTTCCTCCTGGAACACTGGTGAGGTCCACCTCCTTCTGGTTATAGATCGGACCCTCCCTTCCTCAGAGGAGCCTTCCCTGTCTCCCCGTCATGCTCCAAAGCATCTTCTGCTTTGCTGCTCGTAGCTGGCATGCTGTCCTGTGTCTGTGGGACCATTCGATTAGCCTTCGATTAGCCTGTCGACCACATGAAGGCAGGGACGAGGTCTGTTTTGGCCCATTAGGCACAATGCCTTGCTCAGCAGCTCTTCCGTGAACATTTGTGGAATGAATGAGAGACTGGCTGGGGGGGTGGATGCAGGTACCCTGCCTCTGGGGCAGTCCTCAGCCCTGCTGAGGAGTCATGGGAGCCTGGGCCTGAGGCAGGGGGCTCCAGCTGGGAGGGGGCCATTGGCATGCCCCCTGGATTCAGGCCCTCACCATTGGGTCTCCTCGCTGGGTCCTGCTCCCCGTGACTGCTTGTGTCTTGGACTCTGAATCCTATTAGACAGGAAGTGAATACAGCAGTCGCTCTTATCTGTGGTTTTGTTTCCGTAGTTTCAGTTAGCCGTGGAACTCTGTGGTCTGAAAATATTTAATAGAAACTTCCAGAAGTAAACGGTTCATACGTTTTAAGATGCACTGTCCCGAGTGGCGTGATGAAATCTCAGATCATCTCCGTCTGGATGTGAGTCACCCCTTTGTCCAGAGTATCCACACTGCACGTGCCCTCGGCCCGTTGGTCACTTGGTGGCCATCTCTGTCATCTGTGAGTTATCTGTCACAGTACCTCGGTACTTGTGTTCAAGTAACCCTTACGTTACTTCCTAATGCCACATTCACATCACTCTTATGGTATATTAGTCATTCTGGTTTATTAGTTATTGTTAGTTTCTGACAGCGCTTGACTTATAATTAAACTTTGTCACAGGCACGTCTAGGAAAAAAGTGTGCACGGAGCCTGGTGCTCTCTGAGGTCCCAGGACCTGCTGGCAGTATGGGAGTGTGTCCCCGTGCATAAGGGGGCGCTGCTGTATGTCCCTGCATCGGCTGTCCCCCAGTGCTGGTTTGTGAAATGAACGTGTATCTGCCACTGCCCTCCCCAGTGTCTATCACAGATCAGCAGGGGCTTTTGTCACCTACAGTGCTACAGGCTCCAAGGGCCAGCCCAGCCCCTGTACCCTCCCTTATCACTTCACTGCTGCCAGGCACAACCCGACTAGGGCAGGAGAGGAAACAGCCCGGCAGGAATCCTATCCCCTACTCTTCACAAAGGGGGAAACTGAGGACCCAAAGCTGCATACTCTTGTATCCTGCTTCCAGATCCTCTTTGCTGCTCCTACACACGACCCTGGCCCTAAGGACCCAAGCAGAGGTGGCGGCTACTCAGGGAGGGGGAGTGGGTATGGGTGCTCTTTAGAGGTCTGCCCCTTCCCTGACTGTCCTGTCTCTCACCCTGGGCTACGAGCTGCATGCAGGCAAAGGCTATCTTTGGTTCACCGCTGCAGCCCCTCTGCCTGGCACATGACTGCCCGATAAATGCATGAATCATCGGCTAAGGATGGAGGAGGGATTTGAACTGAGGCCTCTCACGGTGTCCTGACTCCGCTTGAACAGCTACCATCACCCCAAACTGTTGCTGGCTAATGGCTGAGAACCCAGCGCAGGTCTGTGGATGCACCTGATATTACGAGTTTCCTTCTCACACTCGTGTCCCTTGTCCTCAGTGTGATTCTACATCTCCCGAGCTCTTACGTGGGCAGGACTGGGGGTGACGCTGGGGCTTCTGCAAGGGAGCTTGGTGGGGCCCTCGGAGGGCAGGAATCGGCCTCGTCTCCTGATCTCCCCTGCCCAGCACAGATGGGCCAGATGACCGCGCAGGGCTTTGCCACTGTGCCCAGACAGGGGCAGTGCACATGGTTTCGATGGGCAGTGTAGGCAGAGCCTGGATTTTCATCTGAGGGAGGAAGTGAGTGGACCACAAACTCATCCCCGGATGTGAGGGGTGGGCGGGGGGAATGGGAACAGCCCCAGTCACACGCCTCTTGGGCACTAGCAGCTATCTGGGTCTGAGGCAAGTCCTTTGCCATTCTGCCCCTGCCCTGCCCACCCCCCACTGCAGGAGGGTAGGAAGGTTAAGAGAGTAGATACCGGAGTCAAAGCAATCTGGCCCCACCCATGACCACTTGTGTGACCTCTAAGCCTCAGTTTCTGTATCTGTCAAATGGGGAGAGCAGTCCACTGTTGCTGTGAGGACTAAATGACAATGCTTTAAAATGCTTAGCAGAGCACCAGGCACAAACTCAACCCAGAAATATTACTACTGGATGGTGGGGGAAGGTGCTGGGAGCAGACCCACGACAGGATCCACCAGCTGGTTCAGTAGCACCAGGCAGGAAACAGGCACAACCAAGCCAGTAAAATAGTGACTTTATTTGCTACGCTGACAGCAGCTCTGAGTGGGGTTGGTGGCTGCTGTCTCTACGTGGGGTGTCTGAAAAGGGGACAAGAGTTAACATTTCCCCAAGTGGAGGCAGGAGGGGCTGTCCTGGGCAGACTTGGGGCAAGAGTGTGACAACCGCCAAGCTCATGGCTGGCAGTGGTGTCTCTGGAGACGGGCCCCAGTCCGTGGCTCAGAGGAAGGGAGATCCAGGGTCCAGAGCGCTGGACAGGGCTCACGCACTACCTCCCGGGCCCGGTGGGTGGCGGCCAGGGCTGCTCAGCCAGCTCCTGCTCCAGCTGCTTGAAACGCTTCTTGGAGGCCCCCTTGGGCCTCAGCCACCGCAAGCAGTCTGGGAGGCAGTGGTCCAGCACACTCTGCAGAGAAGAGGAACAGAACAGCGGGAGGGGGCGGCTGTGGCTCAGCCCCAGCCCCTCCAGCCCCTCACCGCAGCAGGCCCCACCTCCAGCAAGAAGGCCCCCACGAAGTTGAAGGCAACTAAGCCCAGCAGCAGCAGCTTGAAGCAGGTGTCATTGATGTTGCTCAGTGTCAGTGGCCCCTGCAGGAGGCCAGGCACCAGGAGGAGGCACACCAGGACGGAGCCCAAGAGCGCCAGGGCCACCAGGAAGGGCACTGGGGGAGGGGGAAAGAGTCTGTCAAGCCAGGGCAGCCCTGAACATGCACACACTGGCCCACTGGGACCCCCCAGCCCCGCCCTTCCCGGTGCCCACCTCCCCACCCCCCCCATGCAGCAGCACCGTTGGTGTACAGCGGCTGGCGGAAGGGCGCCCCCTTGGACACGGCTGCAGCCAGGATGAGGTACTGGAAGCTGGACAGAGAGAAGACCACTGTGTTCTCGTAATTGGGCAGGTTGTCTGGCGCGGGCACCGTCTCGTTCAGAGGCTGGAACCTGAGGGCATAGGGGCCAGGGGTCAGGGAATGTGCGCATGGAGGACAGGGTGGGAGGGGACTTGGGGGTGGGCCCCCTACTCACCAGGGCTGGGCCAGCGTCAGGAAGTAGCCCCCCAGCTGCACGCCGGCCACCAGGGCTACCTGCAGCAGCAGGCTGCTCAGCACCGGCACGCTGAGCAGGGCCCCTGGCGGCCGTGCCCGCCCCAGCACTGGCGCCGGCCCAGTGCGGCTCATGAGCACGGCCACTGTGGCGGTGATGACCAGGTCGATGACCAAGAACTGCACGTCACCCAGGTTGGTGTTGATCTGTGGCAGGGGAGGAGGGGCAGAAGGAACAGGAGCCCCTGGTTGGAAAGCTCTGGCCTTTGGGGGCCCCTCTCCCAGTCTGAGGGAGTGGCAGCCCTGCTGGCCTTGGGGGGTCTAACTCTGAACGGGCAGCTCCTCAGACCAGTGGGGAAGGCCCAGCGGAGGGGAGACTGAGGCTCTGCCT